GCGATGCTTCGACGGTGCTCCAACGGTCCTTCCCCGAGCTATGATGAAGCTATCCTCTAGTGAAGGAGAGCAGGTACCTTGCTAGCAGAGCTCTTACTCAAGAAAAACATATGTGAGTTTTGGCTGCTCAGGCGCAAGAAAGTAGCACGGGACTTTTGATGCGCCCCTGGTGTGTTATTTTTCTACGTGTTTTATGTTAATTTAAATCTCCGGTAATAGTGCCAAAAACTTTGCTCATCCCAAACTTATGCAGTAATTTAGCTTTCCAAAATATGGTCAAAAATTTGACACAATTTATATTTAGCGGTTAAAATCAAAATGTTATAAAATATATAAAATAGTTCACACACTAGTGATTCTACGCAAGTGCACGTATCGCTTCAAGTAATGTAGGACTTTTTTTAGAAACCCCAGTATCGATCCCACAGAGAAGTGCAGTAAAAAATCACTTAGGCTAATTCTAGTATACTATTGTCTAGTCTTAGTATGGAAGATGGAAATTCTTATACATAAATCACAATATTCAAGCTATAAAAATTAAAGTAAGAATGACAAGTTAAAATCAGTTTAATAAATGCTAACAGAAATGTAACTAAAAGAACTAAGTTTACTAAACTAATTTCTAAACTTCAAAGTTAAATTTACTAAGACTAAACAAAGTTTTGTGACGAAGTGTTCAAATTTAATAAAACCTTCTTCCCCTTTAAAATGAGTATATGGATTGTGAAAAAAATTAAAATCATTTTAAAATATATATGTATAATTGTTTTGTGCCAAATAGGAGTAATCATATTTTGTACCCTCTTTCAAGTGTATAAAGAACATTGACTAATCCAGAGTTTGGTCCCTAATTCTGTGGTTAGGCTGTGAGGATACCGACTGCCACTTCAGAGCTCCCACTACTCCCTCGCTTGAGGGCTAACAATCTCGCATTAGTTTCCAATCAACTGGACCAAATTGAGGATTTTAATCTGTCACCTTAAAATCTTTAATTCGTGTATTTCTTTATTTATTTACACTCAACCCTGGGGATGACATCCTCTCCCATAGAATTGAATGTCGAATGTGGCTCTCACCATGTTGTAGAAATCATAGCTTTTTCGGATCATATGTTTATCAACATATTTTAACTTTTCAATTGGTCAGATCGAAAAGTAAATGAAGATCGAAGTTCAAAGAAGTTCAAATCATCACAAATTATTGACATTTAAAACCGTATAAAACAAAATCAATTTTTCACAAAACTAAATCTCATTGTAGGGAGAAGGATAATAAAAACTGTTCATAATTCATGAGAAGGATACGACAAAACACGGATTTCATATATAAAAACAAGTTTACAAAACAAAGAAAGAAAAGAACACAACTTATCTCACACTCCTTCCCAAGCAAATTCCTATAAGTTCCCTTTAAGCACTTTCTTTTTTTACAATCACACTCAATTCTCTTCTAGAAATATAATAAATAAGGAATTTGTCACCTTCCCTCTCCTCTTACAACCCTAAAAGAAAATTTTCTCTTCTCCAAAGTCTTCCTCTCACTCTCAAGCTACATTCATGCCCTAGACTCCTCTCCTTTTTAATTAGGGACTACCTCTTTTAAAAAAAAAATCAAAATTCTCTCCAAAATTCTCTTCAAAAGTCACACCTTTTGAATCCCAAAAGACATGTTCATTCATTCAAGTGACATATCCATTCATTAAAGAGTCTTCTAATGTGTTTAGATGCATTGAAATCATTTGTGAGAGGAATCATTTGGTGCCTTTAAAATCCGCTCAAAATTTGTCCTGAACCACCTTAATCCGTCTTATATCGTCTTTTGGTGCCTCAGGCGCCACCCTATAACAGCTCCACTTTTTTGCTTTGTTTTGCTCTGTTTCGCCCCGCTTCAGTTACGTTTCGCTCCGCTTCAGTTACGTTTCGCTCCTAATAGATATACCTACCAAATAAGTATAAAACCAGTTACGTTTCACTCCTAATAGATATACCTACCAAATAAGTATAAAACAACATTTCTTTAAAGTACAATTTTATTAAAAAAACATGTGAGAAATGTAATGTAGATTAAACATAGAAAGACATATCGAAATATGCCAAGAAATGTAATGTAGATTAAATATAGAAAGACATTTTGAAATGTGCCAAGTCAGAATTTTCTTTCTTACTCGTTTTTACTCCAAATTGCACCATTTTTGCTTTATTTTCTCCAAAAGTCTATTTCTTGTACCTGGAACCTAAAATATGCAAAATATACTCCTTTAAAGTATAATATCATTAAAAATCATTAAAATTGAGCATAAAATGTATATGAAAAAGTAGGTAATTTTTAGACGTGTCAACTTCCAAGGGCTTGGTTTACATTTTCGGGAAGAAATTTTGGACGCCTAGGCTAGCAAGGCACATATGCTTCGATCTAGCCTCGATATCCTGATTTTTACCGAGAGGACTCGAAGGAGGATTTTCTCGATCCATAAGCTACGGGAGGCTCCAAATGAGTGAAATGTAGTCTCATAACTTTATAATTGAGTATTCTAATTAGTCATTCACCGAGGAATCGTTGCCAACGATCATCCTAAGCCACAACGGGAGCAGGGTGTCCCAAACCCTAGCTTTTTTGTAGTGCGTGTAGGAAGATTCAGTGACTTCCCTTGGCCACGAGTGGCTCCAGACAAATGTGCGGTGACTTCTAAATATCAGAATAAGCATCGAATATGTCCCACATCATGAATGATCCTATTTTTGGTTGTTTTTTTTTTTTTTTCTTACTTTGTTATATGCAATGATTTGAGAGAGCTACATGTTGCTCAACTAAGTATGTATTTTGCATATTTGTGACATTATAGTATCATAAGGAATGGCCAACACATTTCAAGATAGTTGATTTATACAGGTGTCTTTTAAGTATCATGTTATAATTTTCTTAGCTTTTCAGGATTATATATCAAGTGTCTAATTACGCATTATCAAGACAGTGCCTATGATCTTATTTGTATTCCCCATGAGCCTTATTTTTGTAATTTTTAGAATTTTTTGGGGACTTTCCTTTTGCTTTTAAAATTTTGACCTTATTTATTTCTAATGTTAAGAGTTATTTTTTTTCTCGTTCACTATTTTGGTCAATGATTTCATAATTATAATTGTAATGGCTGCTACATTTTTTTTAAAAAGTTGGTTTTACACGTCTCTTTCTTTTCTAAAAAGATATTTCAAAGATTACATTTATAATTATTGGTGTGAGCTAGAAAATTCACGGCATGAATTATTATCTTAGCACTGCATGAGAATTCAACACACACTCAGATAAAAGAAAATAACCAGTACTGACACTTTAAGTTTTTACGTGAAAAACCCGTAAAGAGAAAAAATGCAAGGCCTAGCCCAGCTGAAGAAATCTACTATAAATTGAATATTATATGTATAATTCCTTGTCCCACTATCGATAAATGATTGAACATCTCTTTAGAGTTACAAAGTCGGTGCACGAATAAAATAAACTTATTGTAAGAAGTGTGTGGCGGCCGATGACGATCAGTGGAAGCAGACAGTGATGGTCGACAGTGGTTAACGACGATCGACGGTGATGGACGATGATCAGAGGTGGTCGACGATGACTGGAGTGATGCTCCTCAAAACTTGAAGCTCTTCTTCAGGTTTTAAGCTCTCTCCAGCTGTGAGCTATATTTATAGAGTTATGTGTACAATTAATGTCGGAATGTAAATCAATTGTTCGAACGACCAGGGGAGATTCCTATGATCATAAATCATTTGACGAACATTTGAGTGCCTTAATAATGCAGAACTGAGTGATCATGTGCTTGTTAGATTCATATTGTCGAGACGCTCGATTCGACTATAGGCTTGCAGAATTCGACATTCGTCGCTTGAACTTCTAAATATGTGTAAAAATCTTCTAAGAGTGGTTTAATGATTTAATCTGAGCTGGATTTGACTTGGATTGAACTAATTTTGATATTATTGGGTCTGTCTCATCAAACCATTCAGTTTGACTATAAGTTTTGTTGAAATCGAAGCTTTGAATGAATCTTAATTGAATTTTGAATGTTTCTTGCTCAAATGATTGTATCGAGATTCAAGTCATACCTCGAGATTCATGTCGGATGATAAAAATTATTTGGTGGTGTTTCAATTATGATAAATAACTTAACTTTTAAGTTTAAGTTTATAGTTAATAAAATTATCATAACATAAAGTAATTGGATGGCAAGCTATAATTTCTTTTTCTCATGATTATAATAAACAAATGTAAAAGTATTATGAAAATAAAAAGCTAGTCCAAATTAAAAAATAATAATTTCCTTTATAAGAAGTATACATTTTTATTTGTCCATCTAGATACATACCACACTTCTTATCTATTTACATATTTAACTCATAAATTTTTATATTTATATTTATGAAATGTTGTTTAATATCACAACAAATACATCATTAATATTAATCTTTAAATTAAAAATATATTTTTTCATTTATTATTTTATGACACTAAACTATTATAAATATAAATTTCAAACTTTAAACATTACATATATAAATACATAAAAATTATGTGTTGGGCAAATAAATTTTTATGTGATATTAAACATTTGAGTGTTATATTTATAAATATAAAATGTTCTATGTGTTAAGACATATAAATACATAATAATTGTGGGTATGGAGGTAATTGCCCCTGAAAAGAAGCAACTTTCAATCCAAAGCCAAAAAAAGCATCCTAAGCGTGATCGACTCTTACAGCTAATCCAACGGCCACAAACAAGCTTTTCCCAAAATCCTATTTTTGAGCGGTTGCATCGGTACTTTTTGAGGAGAATGTGTGCCCGCGCGTGTGGGAGCGTGCTGGGGTTTCCCTCGCCGTCCCGATTGGCCCCCTCGTCCGCATAAACGAGTCCAATCTCGCACGCGCACCACCGCGTGGGCCCCCACTCCGCATTCCCATATCCATCAATAACAACAATTATTAAACTCATTTAAAATTCATATTTTATTGCTGTCTTTTCATCACCTCCCCACTGCCGCAATCTCTCTCTTTCCTTGCTTCCTTTTCCCCTTCCTCGGAGTCGTGACGCATTGTCTCTCTTCCTCTCCTCCAAATCACCGAAGAATCTCGCGGGAAATCGCCTCTTAGGGCATCGGATCCACTGCCGATTGCACTTCCCAGCGCGCCTTTCGACGGCGGGATGATTCTCTTAGTCTCTGTGTGATGAGGGAGTAGTAGATCTGTATGGTGCGATGGCGGCGATGCAGAAGTTGTCGGCCCAGAGCTACAGCTCGTGTCGAGCGGACGCGGGCGAGTCAACGGTTTTGTCGTCTCCGGAGCTGTTCCCGGCGGGGCTGAGGGTTCTTGTGGTCGATGATGACGTCACGTGCCTGAAGATCCTGGAGCACATGCTTCAGAAATGCCGGTACCATGGTGAGTTGGGATTTTACTTGGTTGTTTTGACTGTGAGTTCCTTGTTGGATTGTGTGAATCGGGTTTTCTCATTGTTGATTCATTTTATTCTTGTACTTCTTTGGGTTTGCTTGTTATCTTTCACTTCCTGATAGCTTTTGAGCTGTTTTGCACTCTTTTTTCAATGGAATTTAGCTGAAGCTCTAAAATGTTCCCAAAAAAAAATAAAGAAGTGTCGCTGAAGTATTGCTTAGCTGAATAGAGTAGGAAACAGCTTTTGTGAGGTGGGTCTAGTATCTCCTGACAAAATAAGGCCAAACCACAAGGCTACGGGAAAAGAGGTTTAGTACTCTTTGGTTGTGAGGCCTGGGACTTTCTGCTTTTTTTATTGGTTTTCTATGCCAGTTTGGGTTGTTCGATAAGGAGATAATGTCTTTGCATTCTCTCGAACATTGAGTGCGGATGAGATGAGTGCAGATTGAGTGAGGATTGGTAGTATTCTGGTGGTAGTGTGATAATATTGTACTGCAATACCACCACAATATCACCAGAATACTATCATCTGCATCTATGGTTACAATACCACCACAATATCTATGATTCTTATTTTTGCAGCAAGAAACTAATGTTTAATTGAAGAAAGAAACTACGCAAATTCCATGGAGAGAGATTAGTTTATTTAATCCTCCCTTAATATTTCGTAGAATAGGATTTTCCACCTCTTGTGGACTTATTTTCCTTTCATGGCGTCCTTCGATTAAAAACATGGGATGTTGGTTGCAAAGGGTAGAAGTTACAAATTAATGTTGAAGTGTCTACTTGAAATTACAATTACATTTGTGGAAGTTATGAGGATAAAGCACTGACTTTGTGGACAATTGGTGCCAGGTTAACATGTGCATTTCTTTGCAATAAACTTTTTGTTTATGGAGTCACATGGCTCTCAATTAAGATTTTTTTTTTAACTTTTTTTTTTAGTTACTCAGCCTTGACAATTATTCTTGGCTTCGATAGATCTCTCTCGGTAGCATATCAACCCTCTCATGATTCATCTCGTAAACATTGCAGCCTTCTCAGTCATTCTGACTCGTCTTTAATGCGTTTTTTGAACAAATTAATTGATCTCTTATCCCTGCATTCTCTTTTAGGAGCTGATTATTTACTCCTATGAACCAAGCAGGTTATGGGAACAAAACTATTCCTCTCTTCTGTGTAAACTGTCCTGCATTGGAGGGCACTTACCATTTTTGGTTAAGCTTTTACAGTAACTTGGCATTGTTCCTGATTGTTGTAGTTCTTTTTTCCAATAACTTTTACCCTTTTTCAACTGATTCTCTCGGCCTGGTGGTTGATCATCAAGAGGTGATATTGAAAAGGCTTGCTATTCTTATGAACTACTATTTCTTTTCTGAGTGGATAAGGTCATCAAGTTTTCATAGATTGGTGAAGTGCATGAAGTTTTTATCATGTCAGATAATATTTTTGATCTCCTTCTTGTATCTTAAGGTATTATGCCAAATCTTTTCTTTCTTGCATCAAAACCAAACCAATTGCATATCCAGATGCACTGAAATTGTTGTAAAATGGTTTTTGAATATTAGGCAAGACTCTTAACTATTGCCTTGCTTTTCATTCTTTGGGTAAGAAAAGTCACATCCACTTTTTAGCTCCTCCGGGATAATTTCTACTTGGCCTTTTTCAGCAAATGTAAATGTTTAACGAATTAAGATAAGTTGTCAATGAATCTTATTTTATAATTCCTTGTCCCAATGAGGTTTTGCATACCAGTTACATAACAAGGCCATGGCTTTCTAATGGCGTTTACTTTTTTTTGCACCAATCATGATCTCCTCATTGCCAACTATAAGCCCTAAATATAACTGGATTTTAAGCACAATTCTTCACGACGTCACACTTTGTGCACATATCCAAGATAGTTCATCTTGAGACTATAGATAGAGATATTTTCATAATGAACAATTACACAATTTCTCTCAAGTGGTCTCAAAATTTCAACCATGAGACACATAATTGTTGTTGGTGATCTTTAGAGCCTGAATGACATCACCATCCACTCAAATGGTTCCCATTTTTTTTTTTTAATTTGGTATTAAAAATTTCTTGCTTAGGCATTTGACTTGAGATTTTAGATCCTACTTAGCGAAAGTTATGGCACATAGGTCCAACAAGTGGTCCACTTTGGGAAGTAGTTTTCTGTTCACACTTTGATTTGATTTAATATCCCATAATCCAGACATGTGAACAACCATCTTTTTTTGCAATATTACAACTGTTGATCCACAGAGTGAACTGCTTGGCTTAATGATACATTGGCCCAACAACATAGCTGCTTGTTTATTTATCTGTTCATTGTCCACCACCAAGTAGCAGTACATCCTCAATCCTGATGTTTGGGTTGTCTGGAATCTAAGACAAGGTCGATCTCATGCTCAACACTTCATTGTTGAGGCAAACTTCTCAGCTCTTGGAAAAGCTGTCATTCTTCTTCCAAATGTTGTTGCCTCGACTTCTATTTCTTGAGAATTGGGGTTAGTGTTATTCTTTTCTCTTTCTTTTTGATCTTAAGGGATTCTTCTGGGAGTAATGTTTATGCATTACCGTGTGGCTTCTCTTATCTAATGAAGAGTTTAATGAAGTTTTGGCGCTCATTTATCGTTCCCTTAATTTGTCTGGTAGCCACTATATTAGAAAGCTAGTATCCTTCACTCTTGTTGACAATGTATTAAAATTCATCATGGGAGAGATGGTATTTTCGTGCCTTTCAATAGTCGATGGCATCTTTGGTCTCATGCATCGATATGATCTTCTGGGAAAAATCTGATAAATATCGAGAGGTATCGCTTCACAAGTCTCAATCTTCTGAAGAAGCTCATGAAGATCAATTCTTTTTACTACGTATGGCTAAGATAATGCTGATTTCTTCTGATCTGATTTAAAGTCACAATCTAATAGCTTATTTCATTCAAGAGAGTCAGAATACTCATAGTGATTGAAATAGATTTCTAGTGAATCCATGTATGTGTTAAGCTTCTCAGAAACAATAGAATTATCTGATGGGAATGCCGATTTTGGTTTCTATTTTGAAAGGTTTGTGCCGCCCTTCGATAGAAAGCTTGAGATCCCCATCATCTTCCTTTAAGTAATCTTCTTGCTACCCATAACATTCACTAGCCTTTCATTGTGATGGTATGGTCTTCCAGATTGATATTCCTTGTTGATTGGTTCTATATTCACATTTGGATTTACTTGTCAACAGCTCATCTTTACAACCATTTCTTGTTGGAAGAGTTAACTTGGGTAGCCAAGTTGCTACTAGTTTTCTCCGTATTAGATTCCCCTATCTTGTTATTGAAAGATCTTGGTTAAAGCCCAGTTTTTTGGCCTTCTTGTAGTCATGCTGTGCTCCAAGCGTCTTCTACTAATTCCTAGATCCTAAATTTCCACAAGGCGCTTGAATCGATCTGTTCAACACACTGAGCAGGCGGCATGACAAGGGTATTTGGATTCTTGTTTTTGAGAGCAAGAAATTAATGTTTTATTAAAGGAAAAAAACTAGACAAATATAGAGAAGAAGAAATTTCGCTTGAATCCCATCTCTTATTAGTACTACACTTTTGAGACAGTGAGATCCACAGAACATGATTTCTCACCTCTTTTTATTTTTTCTACAACATTTTTGATATAGATGTGGAATGTTCCTTGGGACTTACAAGGATATGGTGCCGAATTCTTTGCAGAAACTCATAATTATACTTGTGGTGTGAAGCTGAAGTGCTGATTATATGGACGGTTAGAACCAGGTTGGCATTAGGTTAGAGCCTTCCCATTCCATTTTTTTAGTTCCTCTTTGCCTCGCCAATTTTTCTCAGCTTCGACAGATTTCTCTCTGTATCATATCTCTCCTTTAGAGATTCCTCTTAGCAATATTTCAGACCTATTAAAATTTCTTTATATAGCTTTCAAATCCTCTTGACTAGTATCTAGCTAACAAGCGAAATGATTTTCTGATCATGTTTTGATTGCAATTTGGCTAACCTTCCTTAACTGGCTTTCCTCTTTCTTTTCAATCATATTCCATATTACTTAAAATGTTGCTTAGAGGCGGCCAAATGGATGTAGAAGGTATCAGATCATCATTATTCTTTATCCAAGTGTCTGCAATAGGAGCTGAAAATTTTGTAGGATTAGCATTGCTCTCTTCTGGTTTTCATATTTTAACTTTTCTGTTTTTCTTATGGTTTCTTAATGTTTGTTTCAATAAGTTTGGTTGAACATTGCTTTAAGTTGTGACAGAAAGAATTACTTGTATTTAACATAGTTTATTTACATTAATGGATAAATGTTGATGAGTGATGCTATTTTATATGGAGATATAGACATTGTTAGGGAAAAAGAATGTATATGGATATAGATGAGGATAATATCCTCTGAAATTGAAGTTGGGTGGTCAAATCGGAATAGCTCAAGAATATCCTGTAACAGAAGTATATTATGGAGACTAAAATGTAATTATTATAGAACCTCAATTGGTTGACTATGTTATATAGATTTGTGTTTGCTAGTGAAAAAAAATGCTGATATCTATGCTAAACATGAAAGGAATGTGATTTTTAAGACGAGTGTACAAAAAAAGTAAGGTGAGCGGTTTTCAAATGTGTATGACGAATGGTAGAATTTGCATCTGTTAGATGAGTAGATTGAATAGGTGTAGTGAATTTGGAAGGTGAAGGACTAGAACTAGGATAATATGGTTAGAAGTTCAAAATCATTTGTGATTTACTATCTAATACCTCGGGCAGCAATAAACCAAAATGAATGAAAATCAGGCTTCTCGCAGCCAGCCCTAAATGGTAGGGACTAGTTGATGTTGATAATTTTTGAGTTTTTGGTTGATTGGTTTGACGCTGTTAGGTCGAGTGTCATGGTAAGCATATTATCATCTTTTCTTTTTTATTTTAGTGAATATTTGAAAAAGATTCTAGAAAAGTTTGCAGATATGGAATCTTGTTTTGGATAAAGATCATGTGATTTTGACGAATTTATGGAGAAACAATCTGAAATCTTCCTTTTTTACAATGATCTAACCATAATGAGATTTACTTTCTGTGAAAACTACATCATTTAGTCGAGTATTTTGATTCTATGATTAAATCAGTTTCTAACCACCATCCAGTTTGAATTTGATTGTTGTTATCCCCCTTTTGGAAGATGTGTTTAGAGCACCGTCCCTTTTTATAACCAGCTGTTTTCTGATTAAATGGATGTTCTGCTTACATGAATCTTCTGAATAATTTGAAAATGGATTAAAATTGTGCAGTTACAACTTGTTCCGAAGCCTTGACAGCATTATCCCTTCTTCGAGAAAGGAAGGGTGGATTTGATGTGGTAATCAGCGATGTTCACATGCCTGACATGGATGGATTTAAACTACTTGAACTTGTTGGTCTTGAAATGGACCTGCCAGTTATTAGTGAGTATTTAGATGTTATTCTTCCATGACTGTCTTTTCTTGTAGCAATCATTCTCATTATTGTTGATTAAACAGTGATGTCAGCTGATGGGAGAACCAGTGCCGTGATGAGAGGAATAAAGCATGGTGCATGCGATTATTTAATAAAGCCAGTGCGAATAGAAGAGTTAAAGAATATTTGGCAGCATGTTGTTCGAAAGAAGTGGAATGAGAATAGAGATGTGGAACATTCAGGTAGTTTTGAGGATTCTGACCGCCAAAGGCGATTGGCTGATGAAGCTGAATATGATTCTTCAATAAATGAAGGGACAGATGGCTCATGGAAATCTCAGAAAAAGAAAAGGGATTCTAAGGATGATGAAGAAGATGGTGAACTGGATAATGAAGATCCTTCAGCATCGAAGAAACCACGGGTGGTGTGGTCAGTGGAACTTCATCAGCAGTTTGTTAATGCTGTCAATCAGCTTGGCATAGACAGTATGGACTAGACAGCACCCCACTCCCACTTAAGGCCCTATAAATTAATGCTCCTTATTTTACTGTAGTCTTTGCATAGTAAATGACGGTTTCTTCTTGGAAATATTTGCATTTTTTGTTTATTGATTCATTTTATGAAATTGCATGCAGAGGCTGTCCCAAAGAGGATTCTGGAATTAATGAACGTTCCTGGTTTAACTAGGGAAAATGTGGCGAGCCATTTACAGGTTTGAATTCTTTTTTTTAAATATAATTTTTAAAACTTGCAGTTGTCATTTTACCTTATGCTTTAACTTCTAATCATGAATGACGTATTTGCATTTTTTAAGATGGTGGGTAGGAAGAGCATTGCAATTCTCTTTAACCGTTCAAAATTAAATGCCAGCATTTTATTTTTTGAAATTAAAGTGAAATTATGCTTTGGAATCATAATTTTTTTTCCTTATAAGAAGTAGCATTGATAGAAGTTTGAGGAGAGGCACATTTTTTGGTGAATGGCAAATTTGGTGATGCCTCAAAATTAGTAATTGAGTTTTTTTTTTTAAATGTTATTTTGTTAATGTAGAAGCATACATATCGAAGTGTAGAGTTATATTTGTTTTTTATTTTCCTTGAAAATTCATTATTTTGTATTATTATTATACTCTTGCTGGGCATCAAGTAAAGGTTTGTGATTGGTACGTGGTGAAGCTATACATTTTTTTGAGAGCGAAGATTGGATTCAGAAATAGTTGTAATAGGCCCAGACGATTTTCAATTACCAGAGGTTTATATCAAGGGCCTAACACTGTTTCCATTGAGTTGAATGTTGATTGTAAATTTAACTTTACAATTTGCTGATGGCATTGATATATGTGGCTTTATTCTTAAAGAAAATGTAAATTTGTAAAATGGAGAAATTCTAATGGGTTTAGGATTAGTAAAGCAAAGTCTTTATGTGTTTGATATTATAGTTAATTCAAAATGATGATAAATTGTTATTACTGCTAGAGAATTTACTAATATCTAAATGCAATAACCTTAATATTGTTCACTAACAATAAAATTAAGGAAAGAAAGAATACCCATGTAAGAATAGTAGTTTCACTTTTTATGTTTGACCCCCGTTGAATTGTATCATTTTGAACCCCTTGCTTGCAATAATAATTTGTTTGGTACATTTCACACAGACACTAGACTAGGATCTCCTAGGATTTTCTCATTGAGATTACATCTTTGCCCACCATTTCTAAATGTATGAAACTCATGATTAGGGGCATTATTGCATGCGATTTTACAATGATCTTCTCGCACATATCATCCCTGCTTATGCTCAACCCATCTCCGTCATCTTTATTTTTATCTTACGAAGTCTTTTTGCATGCAACCGCTCTTGTCAATCAGGAAGGACGGAAAGCAGACAGCTAAATTAGGAGTTTTTTATAGTTAGGAGCTTCCTTATTTAAATTATTTCCAATATCTTTATTCTGATTTATTTCCCTTTTAGCTGAATATTTAGATTATAATATATTTAGATTATGAATATGTATTATTAAGTTACCTAAAATAAATCATACAGAATATGTTGTACCTAAAATAGATTGTAAGATTATTATTTAATGAAAGGAAAGCAAAGGGAAAAGGCATCGAGCTTATTCAGAATTCGGCCTATTATTCTTGAAAACTTTGACAGCTCTCTCTTGTGAAATCCCCAACCCATTCAGCAAGGTACTTGCCCGGTCTCTTGCTCTTTGACTTGTGTTGGGTTGCCATGCAAATTCACCCAACTTTGATGATTCTATTATCCCTGAGTTCTCTTTGGCATATAGCCCCTCTTTCTCTTACAATTTACTCAGCCCAGTACATCCATCTCATGCACAACTTGCTCTAACAAATGTCCATGAAACCCAAAACCTCTATGTTTGATCGCTTTATTTGATAACGGCACCTACACACAACCCTTCAACCTCTCACTTCTCATGCTCTTCCTCACTTATTGGATCCCGCCACATACAACAGTCGATCCTGCTATTTTCAACTTTCCATCTCACAAGCCTCTGCCTGACTATACATTAGGTAACTTAGCAGTATGTTAAGGTATTCATGCAGATAGCTTAGTTGCTTATAAATGTCATATAACAATGCAAACTGATGTTAATGCATTGATATATGATAATCATACTAAAACTCATAGAGCTCAATTCAATGTTTATATTTTTAGCTTGCTTAGAGACAAAATGTGAAATGAATATATCCGTGATAGAGTTGGTATAGCTCCATTAGCGGACAAGATTAGAGAGAGTTTTCTTATTTCTTAGATGGTTTGGAGATGGTTTGGTCACATTAAACGTCGACCATTTGATGATCCGGTCAGAAGAGTAGATGTTTCAGCTTCGACTGATGTTAAGAAAGGCAGAGGTAGCCGAAAAAGACTTGGGCATATTGTATGAAAAATGATCTTAATCTATTAGAATTAAATAAAAATATGCACTCAATAGGAGGAACACTGGTGAAAAAGGATTCATGTAGCCAACCCCACTTAGTGGGATAAAAACTTCTTGTTGTTGATCAAATAAATAAGACAAAGAGTTTAGTTTGACCTTATTGACTCTGCATTGAACTTAAAGTTTTGGTGAATCATTTTAATATGCTTGCTAAAATATGCATTACAGCGAAACAATAAATTTTACTTATTTTGCCTCCTTGCCGATAAGATGATTTCATAAGAACACTGGTGGGCCAATTTCAGTATTTGAGCTGTATGTGCATGGTGAAAAACATGATTATTGTCCCCATTCCATTTAAACTGTTCGCATTCAATTCAAGCCAATTAGGTTGTTAGGTCATACAAACGCTTATTGAGCTTACCTCATTACTTGAGGTTGTATGTCTTTCTTAAAGGTCTTCTAATAGATGTAAGTCTCAATTTAATTAAATTAGGTTGACACAAAGCCAGTAAATCCAAACAAAAACTTGAGCTTTATAGTGGATGTAAGACTTAGGTCAACCTAACTAATTGGGTTGCTTTGCTTATAATGTGAGGTCATACGGTCCGGTGCTGGGCTGATAATTATATTTTTTTCATTAGTCTTGCGTGTGAGCATGCCTAAAGCTACAATTGTTAGCCGCAACGCTAATTTATAGGGCTAACATAAAATAAAAGTTCCTTAAATCAGCTTAACCAATCAAGCCACCTTATCTGGTAAAATCTTAAGACCCATTGTTGGGCTTTTTTCGTCCTGGATGTTGCATGTCCATCATATAGGCCTTACAATTAGTGTAAACTTCAATCCAATTAATTTGGATTTGCACAAAGCCAACAACCCATTAAGGGGCTATTTGGTTTTGGTTTATTTGTAATGTAAGTAAATGGAATGCAGAGACTTTCAAAATTTTGACTTTTTGTTGGATCAAAATGGATGCTGCGAGTTATTCGTATTGGCCTTACAATTAGTTTAAAATTCAATCCAGTTAATTTGGACTTGCACAAAGCCAAGAACCCGTTAAGGGGCTATTTGGTTTGGTTTATTTGTAATGTAAAGTAAATGGAGAATGCAGGTACTTTCAAATTTTGACGTTTGGTTAGATTAAATCGTAGTGCAGTGTAAAGTTTTGATGATTTTGAATTCACCATGTTGTTCAAAACTTGTGTATTCAAAATTTATTAAATTTAGGTTATTTTTTAAGTACAACGCAAATTACAACCCTTGTCACCATCGATGGTTGTTGACACACTTCACGTACATTGGTGCTCACCACCCACAGTCATTGCCAACACACTACTGCCGACATCTATCATTCAGTGCCTACTACTTCCCAACAATGCTACCATTGCCGCTCGTTGTCGTTGCTAAAGGCTACCATTAGTTGTTGTTATTTGTTTTCTCCGCGGACCATGTTTTTATAGATTAAATTTTTCTACAAACCAAACACAAAAACTTAAATTCCTACATTTCTTTTGCACCGATCCAAATAACTCGAATGTATTCCAAATATAGTACATTTCATTTATATTGCATTTCAGTGTATTAAATTATTTTGTACATAAAAAATGTGCCAGCGCAGATCTTAAGGAAATCTAACAATTCAGAAGAAAAGAGTACAATGAAGGAGGGCCAACCGATAGAATACCAGGAGGCCCACTTATTCCACTGAGTCAACAAGGCCAAAGCCGACCGAGCCACGAGGGGGATCAAAAGAGAATTAATGATTCGAACCCAAACTATTTGTTCAGAAACGAGGCAGACAAACATCCAAGTCAACCACTATGCAAAAGTCAATCCGAGGAAAGATCCAATCCCATCACATCTCTAATCATCTTGGGGATGTCCAAAGGTCCCACAACAGATATCGAGAATTAACCATCATAATGAATTAGTCGATCCACTTGTGCCGGCCAGGCTCAGCCGAGAGCTGACTCTACCGACCAAGCTCAGCAAAACGAGTTGATCCTGTCGACCCGAAGTCAATTAAGCTTAACTGACCGAGTCAGAAAACGACCGAATAAAAAGCTCATACATGTAAAATACTTGAGATACTCTAGTACGGACCCCATGAAGTCAGGGTAAAAAATGTAACATCTTGTTTTACCCTCTCCGCCATAAATAGGGATATCATTTCATGAATAAGAAACTTATTGTTGTTCATTACTTTTCATTCCTTTTTTTTCTCTCTTTCACGCTCTATTCATTGGGTATGATTCGTGAAAAAATTAAGATTCAATATCTTAAAATGTGCGGTGAGCGTGGGTCATATCAGAAACAAGAAGAATAGTTTAAGAAGTAGCCCCAACAGAGATCGTGCATCAGTGAGTTAGTAACTCGGTAGATCTAGTACTTGAGTATCAAATGTTTAACGTCATACGAGATGCCTTAATTTAAGGAAGGGATCAACAACCCTGAGAAGAAGGATTGGCGCCCAAGTACTAAATATGCCCCTCCAACTTTGGAAAGAGAAGCGACTCTCATTATTTCGATAGTGTTGGGGTAGCATCGATCAACCGACATTAGTTCAGGCATACTGAGGTGCTCCGGCGGCTTGGGAATGTGTTTTCTCGACAAATCTTTGAGGTCGAGCCCTCGGAGCGATTCAAGATCTCGACACTGGAGTCTTAAAGTGGTCAAACCGATCCGATCGAGCACATAACCCCGTTTGAGTTGATCATATTATTAAGGGTCACCGATACGTTGAAATGTCGTTTCTTCTTTACCACACTGAGGAAGTCGTCCCTTCTATGGTTCAATGGATTACCTCCGGGAGTAATTGCATCATTCACTGATTTCAGGGGAATGTTTGTGGCGTAGTTTGATAGGGCCTAGAAGCCCTAGAAAAATTTGCAAGCCTTATGTAGATTCGTCAGGGACAAAGCAAGATCCTTCACTTGTTCTTCACATATTTTCAGAAGGAGATGGTGGAAGTAACATAGACCCCGCAGTCATTAATGCTGTCAAAAAAGCTTGTTTAAAATAGCTCGTGTTCGGCTCGTTAAGTAGTTTGTGTTCGAATCATTCATTAAGTAAACAAGTTGAATTCCAACAACCATTTCTTTGATTGTGTTCGGCTCTTTTTAGCTTGAAATAATATACATACATATATATACATACATACATATACATACATACATACACATATATATATATATCATAGCAGCTCGTGTGATCATATGGTTCTGCGTCTTTTGTTGTACAAAAGTACAAGTTTGAATCCAACACCCTAAATCTATTTTTCTTTATAATTAATTTATAAGTCAATTTTAAGTCCAACACGAGCCAATTTCAAGTCGAACACAAGCCAATTTTGAATGAACCGAACACGAGTCAAGACTGAGTAAGCTAGTGTATTAAACCAGGGACAAATATATATCATTAGATTGTACCCTCTTTATTATAATACTGAGATCATTTCATGAAGAACACAATATATTACTTTTAATTACTGTTCACACCTCTCTTCGTCTCTCATTCTCTATCCTCACGTGCTATTCCTTAGGTGTGATTCACGGAACGTGCTATTCCTTAGGTGTGATTCACGGAAAAATCTGGATTGAACCGAGTCCTAAATAAAAATTTTGATTTTATAGTGCAAGTTCGTAAAACCAACTATTGGGTTGATTTCATTATTTGAGTTGTAAGTCTCATATGTGGACATTTCTTAAAGCCAAGACAGTAATCTAGCAAGCGTTAGCCCTTTTGTTGTTGCTGACATAAAATCAACAAAGCCATTAACCAATCTAGCTATCTTATATGTCTGATAAAACTATAAACCTATGATCGGGCTTTCTTTTTATCCTCAAGTTTCTTACATGCCTTCTAATAGATTTAAACTTTAAAATAATTAATATGGTCGTCATAATGCCAAAAGTTTTCATAAATTAAAACTAAGACCTTCCAAATTATATAGGTCCCATCTGCGTCTAATTAATTGGGCTAGCATAAAAGTAAACGAGACCTATTAAACCAGTCCAGTCAATTGCATCATTACGGAGCTTTCCCTCAAAGATCCATTACTACATACTTTCTTGTTTGCATCAGATGTATTATCATTTTCCTTTCTGACTATCTGTATCGTAATTATTTTTTAGAAATGTCCTGATTTTTCTCAACTTTTTAACTATTTAGACCATTTTTGTTGTTGGGCAGCTGTTTCTTCTCATGAGCTGCTTTAATTGTCGTCTCGTTTAGTGAATTTATTCTTTTTCTTCCCGTTTTGAAAAAAGAATATGATATTATGAAGCTTATTAATATTTCTTTTGCCTTTGTATGGATTATATTTCTCAAACTAGACTTTCTATAGATTCTCGTTTTTATTTTTATTTTTTTTATTTTTGCTGAAGTTAACATTTCTTTAATCTTAAGGCTCTCAATGAATTGCTATAATTGCACAGAAATTCAGATTGTATTTGAAGAGAATAAGCGGTGTGACTCAACATCAAAGTGTGCTACCTAATCCATTCTGCGCTCCAGTGGAGCCAAATACAAAAGTGGGTTCGGTAGGAAGGCTCGACTTCCACTCTCTTGCTGCGACGGGTCAAATACCACCACAGACCCTTGCTGTCTTGCATGCAGAGCTCTTAGGTCGACCTTCAGGCAACATTGTGTTGCCTGCGATAGATTCGACAGTTCTTTTGCAAGCGTCAAGCCAAAATTCAAAGTTTTTACCTTCCGAGAAGGAAATAGCTTTTGGTCAGCCTCTATTTAAATGCCAATCTGGAATATCAAAGCCGTGCCCCCCATCAGGAATCAACACTCAAGACACGCCGTCCAGTTTTTCATCTTGGCCATCTAGTCAGGTTGCCATTACAGCTTCCAACAATGAACTTGGAGGATTAAACAACGCACAGAATAATCATTTATTGATGCAAATGTTGCAGCATCAACAGCAACAGCAACACCATCAAGAAGAGCCATTTAATCTTGTGGCCTCAGAATCTCATAATGCCATCAATGTGCAGCCCTCATGTCTTGTAGTTCCATCCCAGTTACCAAGCAGTTTAAATGGTGGAAATTGCTCCATGGTTGTAGCCCCTCAACAATCAAGCAATATTAAGCTAGGAAGCAGTTCAGTGCCAACTTCAAATTCTACCTTTAATGGCACTGGTATTACCTTCGATTATACCATCCATTCTTCTCAGTCAACCAATGCGACGTTGGGCATGGGACGAACTGATTCAGATTTCAAGAATATTGGCCTGTCAAGTAGCTTTTCTCCTCTGGCTTCGGTTTCACCATCAGTTTCATCTAGTTCAGTCTGCACAAGTGTTGGTGGTTGGAGGTTGCAGAACTCTAACATGAATTTTGGTTTTCATAAATCCTTGGGACAGGTTCCTAATTCACGCTTTCTGGGTCCTGAGGTGAAGTCGCCGGCAATATCAGTTAATTATGAAAATGTAAGGAATTCGGGTTTTGTTGGTAAAGGCACTTGCCTGCCTAGTAGATTTGCTGTAGATGACATTGAATCACCCACAAATGACTGGAATAACATGAAGATGAGTATGTTTGATGACGTGGACAAAGTGAAGCAAGAGCTCAATTTGGACTTTTTGGAGGGTTCTAAAGTTGAAAAAACTATGCTCCCGAATTTTCCGTCGAACGATTTTATGGGTGTCGTGTCCAAGTAGGTAATACATGAACTCATTATACCATTTTCCAGCATCGGCATAAGGGACTGTGCCTCTCTTTGTTGTTATTTTCTCTCTTTTTTTTAAAATGATGTTTTTTTATCAATTTTTTGGCAGTCCGATTTTATTCCACTCCTTTTATTCTAGTGCAGTCATCTAGTTGCATAAATTTAAGAAAATAAGACCCAATCTTCTAGTTTTTGATATAGACAGTCTAACTAGATTTGTCATGCCAAGTTTATTTTCTTCCTTTTTAGAAAAAAAAATGAAGTGGCATATGCATTCCTAGCACTCGAAACATTGCTATTTACAAATTTAACAGCCATTTCATCCATTTTATAAATTCTCACTCAAGTATCAAACTTAAGGATGAAACTCAAACCCTTTTTTTTTTCAATCTTATCAAATTCTCGATAGTCTGATCATAACAAGTAAATGCATCGGTTCTGTAATTCAGAAGAATTACTTGAGTGCTAGTTCTATAAATTGCCATGTTTCGAGTGCTGTATATAAATCCCAAAAATGAAACAGTTTGCCAATCTGAGATCCCTGTTGTAATTTTGAATTTTGCACAGTCTCTCTGGAAATTATATTGCTCGGTTGCTTTATTTCTTTAATGACACTCTGCTATTATCTTGGTGGACTCAACACTTCATAAAACCCATCTTTTTGTTGCAAAACAATTTTAAGAATCTAATCTATTAACCCAAATGCTTCATTTGCAGAGATTCTCAGCCAGGATGTTTCCTCAAATCCTAGCAGTGCTTGCTTACCACATCCCAGTTCAAGGAAATAGGTCCACGTGGACTACTAGATTTCATCACAGCATGAGCACAGAAGTTAGGGCACAATTTGAATATTTAGGAGGGACGGTAGTCGTAGCAGCACTCACATATATATCCTTGCTTCTCTTTTGTTGATTGCTCGATAGGTTGATTTGGAAACATTAGTATTTGTTGTGTATTATAATCTTTCTATGCAATTGGAGAAAAGTAAAAAAAATAATAATAAAAAAATTTATATGACTCCCTCCCAATAGTTTTTTGGGCTGTTTTTTTTTTTCCACCCATAGCAGGCTCACAAAATAAACGTATTGGATGCAATATTTTGGATTTTTAATCGTGCCATTTGTATCATGTAGCATGAGTAGGCTCTTGTCTGTTGATCACATTAGCTGTGCCAAATGTAAATGTTTATTATATTTATCTAGCTTTGATATGGTGTGAAGTACTCTTTCATAATTTAATTCTTTGTAGCTCTATTTGAAATTTGCATTCAAAAAATGGAGTTTTTCACTCCATTTTTTCTTCTTCAATATTATCTCCCTAAAGATTATATGAGCCCGCCGACGACACCTACGATCTAAGAGGATTCCACAGCCATTTTTGCCATTCAACGTGGGCAGAACTTTAATTGCATTTTTATGAGGTAAGCAATACTGATTAGAATACATGTGAGACATTCTGACATAAAACAAAATAAGTTGGTGCCATTTGAACTAATCTTCTTTGCTAGATGTGTGCTGTTACATACCTCCTCTATTCAATTGAAAAGCAAAATTATCAATCAATATCAATATATGAATATAAATTATATAAAATATTATTTCAGTTATTATAACTATGATTTTTTTTCTTCTTCTTTCGCGGGTCTTTCATTGATCAGATATTCTAATAATCCTCTTCTGATATAATTGTTAGTTACTAAGGGTGTAAATGAGTCGAACACGCGCGAGCACAGGTTCAACTTGTATTCAGCTCGTTAAAAAATATCATTGTTAGCGTATGACTCGTTTATATTTCAAACACAAAAAATGTGTTTTTGTTCTGTTCGTTTACTTAATGAGTAAAACACGTGCTATTCACAAACAGTCATTTAACAACCCAAATCACATAGCCGTAAGTAAAAAGTTGAGGGTTGAGGTGAGATTTTATGATTATTATTTATATTAAAATAATACTTAAATATAATTTAATATATTTTATTCTATTTTTTTAATTAATTATAAATCTTTATAACCATGTGGTCAATTAAATTATATATATCAGTGAGGTACATACCAAGAGAGATGACTGGGAAGCAAAATCATATACGGAGTACCAAGACAATCGCTTTACTAAATATATGCGAAGTATCTAAAATTAGGAGTAGAAATATTATACATATTAAAAACATTGAATGCAGAGTTATTGCAAGAACTGAAATTTTGAGAATAAGCTCAAGCTCGGCTAATAGGAAGTCCAACTTCCTCGGATTAAAAATAAATGCAGATAAACATTGCTTCATGTCCAATACTCTATTTACCACCAGCTAAATTAAGAGAAGGCAACTAGACAAGCACCAAAAAGAAAATATGGAAATCCAATTTTTTGATAAGACAGTGTCTAGCCACCAACAATACAAATTGTAAAGGCAATTAGACAAATACCCATGATGAATTATATCGGGATAAGTAAATTGCATCAATTTCTTTCTTACTAGAACTCAAAAACCAGTTCCTGAAAGAACTATACAGTGTTAAAGCACTAAAGATAGCAATTTATAACTGCAATATACACGGCAAAAACAGTTGTTTATCATAACGAGAAATAATGAGAGAAGTAATACGGCATGCAAAAAGATTTCCCAAAAAATACTGACTTTTGAAATAATGGAAATAGCTGCTTCCAATTGAGCCAAATAAGTCTAACCTTAGAGCATTGATTTGCCCGGGGCAGCAGATTAACAGTTTCAATTGCAAAAGATAGGAGAATAGAAGGGCTGTGAATGATGAGGTATAACAAAATCAGAAAATGATGATATGCATGCTGAATACAAGTGGACGAAGAAGAGGAATAAAAAGAATAAGACCAATAACTTTTCAAAGAAAACAAAGAAAAGGGCTTACATGGCTGCTTACCAAGTGCATGCCGGCTTCTAGTACTCTAAGAGCGGACAAGCAGGGCGGATGCTTGAGGGAGGAGACAGCAATAGAATAGAAGAGAAAAGGAGAATTATTGGTAGATAATTAATTATAAATCTTTATAACCATGTGGTCAATTAAATTATATATATCAGTGAGGTACATACCAAGAGAGATGACTGGGAAGCAAAATCATATACGGAGTACCAAGACAATCGCTTTACTAAATATATGCGAAGTATCTAAAATTAGGAGTAGAAATATTATACATATTAAAAACATTGAATGCAGAGTTATTGCAAGAACTGAAATTTTGAGAATAAGCTCAAGCTCGGCTAATAGGAAGTCCAACTTCCTCGGATTAAAAATAAATGCAGATAAACATTGCTTCATGTCCAATACTCTATTTACCACCAGCTAAATTAAGAGAAGGCAACTAGACAAGCACCAAAAAGAAAATATGGAAATCCAATTTTTTGATAAGACAGTGTCTAGCCACCAACAATACAAATTGTAAAGGCAATTAGACAAATACCCATGATGAATTATATCGGGATAAGTAAATTGCATCAATTTCTTTCTTACTAGAACTCAAAAACCAGTTCCTGAAAGAACTATACAGTGTTAAAGCACTAAAGATAGCAATTTATAACTGCAATATACACGGCAAAAACAGTTGTTTATCATAACGAGAAATAATGAGAGAAGTAATACGGCATGCAAAAAGATTTCCCAAAAAATACTGACTTTTGAAATAATGGAAATAGCTGCTTCCAATTGAGCCAAATAAGTCTAACCTTAGAGCATTGATTTGCCCGGGGCAGCAGATTAACAGTTTCAATTGCAAAAGATAGGAGGATAGAAGGGCTATGAATGATGAGGTATAACAAAATCAGAAAATGATGATATGCATGCTGAATACAAGTGGACGAAGAAGAGGAATAAAAAGAATAAGACCAATAACTTTTCAAAGAAAACAAAGAAAAGGGCTTACATGGCTGCTTACCAAGTGCATGCCGGCTTCTAGTACTCTAAGAGCGGACAAGCAGGGCGGATGCTTGAGGGAGGAGACAGCAATAGAATAGAAGAGAAAAGGAGAATTATTGGTAGAGTAGGGCTGCTATACTTTGAAAGATTTAGAGGAAGAGACAATATTTTTGGAGAGGAAACATATGATAATGGAATAATAAATTTGAGGTTTCAATAAAATTTTAAATGTTAGGTTTGTAAGTATAAGGTCTTAAGCATTGAATGAGTTATTTATAAAAAGATTGAGTGGTATGTATGTAAATCCCCGAAAACCTCAAATTTATTAGGTCTTTAGTTTGATATTCATGAATTTACTTGACTTCGAATACTACTATAGATTCTTCTTTACTGAAAATTATTTATGCACAAGTTCAGCTTTTTTTGCATTCAATTAGTAGTAAATCAAACAACAACTAGAAGCAAATCATTGCCGAATTAACACATGACAACTTTTATAACAGACAGAATAAAAAGGATATGCATAAGATTTGTCCATTATTTTGTTACAATCGTAAGCATTGAAACAAGTATCAGCAGCAACAAGAAGTATTTTTCCATTATTAAGCTAACCATTTTTGTAGAAAATAATGCTCGGGCCCATAATCATAACAAGAATAATTCAGCCTTTCAAGTTTGCAGAAAGTTGAACATTCAATGTAATAAAATTTCAACATAAACTGGTAAATCAAACTACAGATGAACCCAACTGGAATATATAAAGCTTTCAAGTTTTCCGATACAGTCCCACTAAAAGATTCATATTTTAAGACAACAGCCAAGATAAACAATCTTCAAACCAGAAACAGATGTTGCACAAGTCAACTAAATGTTCGTAAGTTTAAATGCAAAATTTCAACTCATTTATGCCAACTTGTAGTTCAAAGTAATCAGTGAGATTTCACATACTCCTGAACTATATGAAGTCCCTCGGATTCCTCTCCATAGTCCTGCAAATCCAGGCAAGCATTAAATGTTCAGACAAATTCAAGCATCAAAGCCTCAAGAGCTAACTTTCAAAGCCAATGAAGGATGTTAGAATTCATTTTACCTTAACAACAACACAGGAGCACCCTATAACTTTCCTGGCCTTTCCCTCTGAGTCAATCTTGCAGAGCTGTAATAAACAAAAATAATTCATTAACCAATGGATGATTTGGAAGAAAATAAGATTGCATCAACCAATGAAATATGATGCAAACATGAGATTAACAGGTAAAGAATACATTTTCTGTAAATGCATGTCTGATTGTCTGAATAGCACTCCGACCATTATTAAAGAAAATAACGAAGTAATTTAGCTGGCATAAGAAGCTATAAAATTTCCCTTAAGTGGAATCCAGCAATAATCATTTAACAGATGAGCTGGCAAATGGACAGCATAATATATGAACCAGAAATTAGTTCTTCACGAATGGAGAAAGCATCATTGAAAAAATTGAAGACAACAAAAAGAAACAGAAACCATTACAAGAAAAATCAAAAATAAAATCAGCAAAAAACAACAACAACAACAACAACAACAACAACAAATATAGTGTTTTCGAAGAATAATGGACAAGAAGGAATGCACAAAGATAGAAAACAAAAAATAAAAAGGACAGTATTGTGTGTAGCAACCAAATCTTTCATCTTTGTATAAATAAAACGCAAGTGCTTTAATTAAACAATAAAACTATTCAAATCTTCAAGAGCACAACAAAACCATAAAATTCCATTGCCAAAAGTTGTTATAGTCTTAATAAATTTGTTGTTTCTCATGCAAATAAATGAGTCAATTTTATAAATAGGAAAGATTTTCATGACACAAACATAAACCTATAAATATAAATGCATAGTCAATGCAAGATGTAGAATTATTGAAGCTTGACAAGTGAGGACCAAATCAGAAGCAGCAATATAAAAATTAGAAGAACTTGATCATGCCAAAGAATGTAAAACTCCAACTTCTTAAAAAAAAAAAAAACCTTCAACAGATAATGAAATGCAAACTAAATGATTAGCCAAGTCATTAAAAAAAGATTAGTTCAAAAATTACTTAAAATTAAATCCGTCAATTTACTAACCCCGGCCCACTCTCCAAGGGATTTGGCATGTGGAATGGTCACCAAATGGACATTGTGATCTGCACAAAGAGCCTTAACTAGCTTAACATAGTCAGGCTGGTCACAATCCTCGGCAAGCACGCAAAGTTGTGCAGCATGCTTTTCAATAGCCTTCGCTACTTCATGGAGTCCACGAATAAGCCCATCATGTGCCAAACTTTTCCTCAAAACAAGTTGGAGTGCTGTCATAAGGTCCATTGGTTCTCCAAGGACTGAAGCAGGTGTTTCAGTGGGAATTCCATCCCTGCCATCATAAAAACTTTAGGAAATATTTTATCTAATAAATAAAGCTGACTGCAATGAAGGGAACTCTTTTACTAACAACTAAATCATATACAAATTTATCGAAAGATTTACATACATACTACTCAATTCTTATGTATTTATATATCTAACACCTAAACTTCCATTTTTACACATGTCACCTTACCTATGCATGAAAAGCTGTATTTCACTATTTTATAAGTTAAAATATAGGCATTTTTTATGTGATATAAAAGATTTAGGTGTTATAGATGTAAAAAGGAAAAGTTTAGGTATTAGATATGTAAATACATAGGAATTAAGTGGTATGTATGTAAATGCCCCAAATTTATAATATTAACTAAAATAATATACCGCTCTTGAATGCAATGAAGATAACCACCAAAAAAAAAAGATTGAAATAGTACTAGTTAACATTGCAACATCACACTTCATGGGAAGAAAAATTATTCATGTTTAGATGATATCAGTCGATACCATTATCTCAAAGATAATATATCACAACTTATGCATTGTCAGGTAATTTCTAAATGCCTCTGACTACATTAAACTCTAATAACATTCAAGGAAAAATAGGTCATTTAGATTAGTTATTATTTTGAATCAAGGAGTACAACAAAACATCTCATTACCAAAGGAAGCTTTAGAATATTTCAATTTTTTTTATTCCAAAGATATTACTTAGATGAGAAAGTCATTTTATATATCTTCACAATGTAAAGGTCTACTATGACTTCATCGATATGTTGTTATGTTGCATTGTTCCATAAAAACACAAATCACCACACAAAAAGTGATTTGTGATGAATCAAAATTTTTACGACAGATTTTTGAAAGGCAAAGCAACTGAGAAGCATTAACAACGAAAACAAAGCTCAATCCATGACATCAGTTTATCCTTTTGCAAGCATCTTGCTAAATCAAAACAATATTAGCACAACAAATGCAAGTTGCTTAATGGGTACTTCGTCGTCTAGTTTTGATAAAAATTGCCTTAAACTAAGATTCAGCAATCAAATCTGAAACGCCTACATATACCAACCTAGCATATTATAGCACAATAAGCTCAACCCTTTTTATTTGAGAGCTAAGAATCACATCATAATCGATTTATGATATGCAGATCCCCACAAAACCTAAATTTATCAATATTCCTCAAGGATTCAAACTCGTTTCATATAATATGATAGCTAAATTTGTTCCATGGCAACTAACATCTCGATCATTTTTCTTAAAAAATCAAAGCCAACACAATTCGAAGTTCAGGCTTTACCAAAAACGGGAATATTATCAGGAATCAAAGAATTTATCATCGGAAATTCACTTGCTCAAATTTAGAAAAGTAGAACCGGGGTTTACAATTCATTTACGAGGGAAAGTGCGGATGGGCCGGGAAAGAAGAAAAGAAAGAGATGAGGGTGGGAGCTTACGCCATTGCTGCGACCACGTTCCCCCGGGAGATTTAGAGGCAGTGGCAGATGAGAGAAACTGCGCGAATTCTGAGTTAGGGTTTTCTTCCTTTGGGATTACGATTTAAAGTAACCGTCCGATGGGGGATTTATCTATTTACATATCTCAGACCTAAACCCTTATATTTACATATTAAGCACCTAAATTATCTAAAAAAACACAAAAATAAAACTCTGTTTTCTCCTCCGTTATCTATTCCGTCTCCTTCATTCCCCATATTTCCTGAGAATCTCGTCGGCGGCGTTATTTTGCTCAGCGAAGTCCTGACATGAAGGAAGAGAGAAGTAAATCAACACAAATTATCCATAGATGACTCCATTACCTAGCAACGGTACAGCGGGATATTCGCGTCACTCCTTCATGCCTTATCTTACTTTGTGAAGGTGAATCGAGACTGATCTTCAGGTTTGCAGTGAGATAGAGTTTTGAGAGCTTGAAGGTAAGAACAACAGGAACTCTGGATTTGCGAGGCTGCCATGATGTTGGCTATAAGGAACTCTATTTCCGTCGGTGACATGGCCGAATAGCAGCAAGGTGCTGCTCACAGTGACAATCCGAGAAGAATAAGAGCGAGGTCGGCGATGACATCGGGCTTCACGAGCTCGAGAACTACCCGCCTCCACCTCCCTGCCTCCTGCCGCCAACCTCGATCTGGTTGACACAGTTAACGGAGTTTGATAATTTATAAATAAATAAGTTTTGAGGGTGAAATATGTAATTTGGTATATTATTATGAAATGTGAGGATTTTATTTTTTTTAATTGTTTTTTAGTTGGTCTAGCTCATAAATTATTTTTTGTCCAGCTAATTAAATTTTATAAATATAGCAATTAAAATAAATTTGACTTAAAATAGTGTGTTTTTAAAGATGATGTATATTCTCATTTTTATTTAAAATTAATTCAAACTCTTAACTAAATGTAAGATATGAAAATCAAACATGATAAAATATAGATTAAATTAGTTTTATTACTAACAACATAGAAGAATTTTTTTTTTTCAATTAGAAAAATTATTGTTTCAGAACATCTGATGCAAATTTATCTCAGATGTCCAATAACAGAATATCACGTGACAACCGGGGCCGAACCGTGTATGTCACTAGGCCCAAATTACCACATAACCTCCTGTTATTTGCATCAGGTGTCCTGATGCAATAATTTCTCTTTCAATTGGCCCAACAGACAAAATCAACTTTAAAGTATCCAAAATAGGCTTTCATTCCTTATAAATTATTTTTCTCCACATTTTCTTTCATATATATGGAAAACAAAATGAATTGAAAATGAGAAATAATGGTGGAAAAAGTATTTATGATAAATTTATATGTTGTTATAATATATATATAAAAGGATATAAATTAAATTATATAAATTATTATATTTATTTATATAAATATTTAAAAAAATTCTTATATTTTGAATATATGACTCCAAAAGTTAAAGAAAAATAATTAAAGAATAGAAAATTATGTCCGAATCATATTCTTGAAAATGATTTTTCGGACACTAGAATATTAAAAAAACCCAATTTTACGATGAATTGTCAATCCTTAAGCAATATAAAACCAATAAAAAACCTTTTTTTTCTATTTATGATGCTCTTATAAATCAGTCAAAATATGTTCAAAATAGAATCAAGCGTGCCCTATAATATGTGAAGAAGATGATTAATAAATAAAATATAAAATAAAATCGTGTAAATTATTTGAATGTGATAAGATTGATTTTTAGAAATTAAATATTTGTATAGATCAAGACTACTAAAATTAGATTAATAAATAAAAGCATAAAACCAATTCTGAAAATTCCAAGAAAATCAATAAACATAAAATAATCATCACAGTCCTACTTGAACCCATTACAAATAAATCCTTTTAAAAATTCTCCTCAGATTCCCCTAAAAATTTTAAAATTTTATGAAGGTGCTTAAACTCTCAATTAGCCCTAAAATATTCTAACCAAAGGCGTAATATGAAGCGAAGATTTTCTGTGAGTAATAAAATAAAACATTAAGAGCTCTAAAAAGAATACACCTTGCACAAAGAAAAATGAAAAACAAAAGATATAAATAACATGCCTACAACAGTAAAACTATTTTTTTATACAAAATATTTATATAGAGACAATAACAGAGAACAACCAGACTACATAAAAAATTTTTATGTGGTTATTGAAATTAAAGAATAAACCCTAAACAAAAACAAAACCAAAATAATGAAAAGAATCTAAGGTTATTAAGATTTTTTATAAAAATAAAAATATTATCTTTAAACTTTCATATTCCACTCTTTTTATTTAATCAACTCATGAATTTTGAAAATTAAGGCGTCCATCGAAGGGAATGAATTATTGAAAACTTTATTATTCCTCTTCTACCAAGTGGCATGAACTGCTAGCAAGTAAAATTTTTAAATAATAATACAATCAATAAAATCCATTTAAGGGATAATATGCAAATTTTTTCCACTTAAAAGACATACAATTTTCATGAAGAGTACATCTCTTTAGTAAGGAATGAGCAAAGTTACATTAAGAAAAAAATGATTATGAGCTTCATTATAATTCAAACATGAAACACGATACTAATTAATAGTGATGCCTCTAGCAGACAATACATCACAAGTTTTCAAATCATACAATAAAATTCTTCAAAGCATGATAGCAAATTTATTGGAGTAACATGTAAACCAAACATACTTGTGCCAATTAAATAAAGAAGAGTTGTCCATGATAAGATCATAAATGAATTTATGAGCATACTTATCATGACCCTTCTAAAGATGATTAATAGAACCAAATATGAAATAAATCTCCTAAATATAACTTATAAAAGCTTTCAAAATAACACAAGAAAGGAGAAATTCTAGTTATTATTAACAATCATATCAATTACTTTAGAAAATGTGGGAATATTAAACCGGTTAAAAACTTCATTATCAAACTTCTTAAAAAGAGAAAAACCCTTCAGCCAAGGAACAGAAAAGGAAAAAAAAACACTTTGGGAAGTAATTTAAAAATGTAAATATTATCTAACTATATAAGCCAATTGAACGAGATTATTCCAAAAAAAGGAAAAACTATTTATATGCTTAATCCATATAGAGTTATCATGACTAAAGCACCAAGTAGCTAAAAAAGAAGGAATATTAAAAAGTTTCTAATTAATTTTAGATTTTCACATAATATTAATCATATGAAGATTAGACAAAAGAATACCACCATATATCTTATGATTAATAGTATTAAGCCAAGAAATAGTATGAAACTTAGAAGATGAACTATTCTTAAAAAGAAAATTATGACATAATGATGAAATATTTTTCCTCATAATTTTAGGAATACTAATTCCACGAAACCAATGGTAAATATAACTCCAAATAACATGTTTCAGTAATTGAAGTTTACCAACTATAGATAAAAACTGAAGTTTCCAACCAACAAACCAAATCTGTAATTTATTTAATAGCTTATAAAAATGAGAAGCCAGAGATTTAGATGAATTAATTGACAAACCAAAATAATACCAATGTAAAGATTTCAATGAGGAACCACTAATCTCACATAAATAAATCTGAAAATCCAAATCACAGACTTGATAAAGCAAATAATGAATCTGTCTTTATTGCTTCTAAATATGGCAGACATAAAAAAATCCAAAAAATATTATTTAGGTTGTCAGTTTTACCAAAGACTAAAAAGTCATCAATATAAATAAGATGAGAAATATTGCAATTATCAATACCAAATGAAATATAAGAAGTGGAATAATGAACATCCATAAGACAAGAAAAAAAACATTCATCACAATAGTAAAAAGATAGTGTGAAAAAGGACGTCATTGCCTGATACAGTTAGAAGAAGAAAACAGTCTGCCAATTTATTATTAATAATAATTGAAAGTTAAACATTTGAAATATAAGCCTTAATCCAATTAATGAAATAATGGGAAAACCCAAGCTAAAAATTCTATCAATAATAAATTTATGATTCACACACTCAAAAACTTTTTTAATATTAATTTGGGCACAACAACATTTCTTAGATGTAGAAGAATTGAAACAAAATAAAAGTTCATTTGCCAAAATAATATTATCTGCAATATGACAATTATAAACAAAAGCAGCCTGAGCAGGATGACAATTATTAGAAGCAAACTTTTAAGTTTATTAGCAATAAGCTTAGTGATAACTTCATAAATAGTATTATAAAGAGAAATGAGCCTAAATTCACAATTATAAACAAAAGCAGCCTGAGCAGGATGAACAATTATTAGAAGCAAACTTTTAAGTTTATTAACAATAAGCTTAGTGATAACTTTATAAATAGTATTATAAAGAGAAATGAGCCTAAATTCATAAAAATAATGAGCATGATCATGCTTAAGAATAATATTAATAGTAGTTTGATTAACTATAATACAAATATTAGAATTAAGAAAAATAATTTAATAGCAAAAACACAATAAACTTCAATAATATTCCATGAATCTTTAAAAAGATTATGTAGAATAACCATCAGTCCTAGGAATCTTGTTAGAACCCACAGAGAAAAAAATAGATTTAATATCCTTATTAGAAAATTCTTAATAAGATCCAAACAATCAATATTATGTAAAAGATGTTTGACATGATAAAAAGTTGAGTCATACTTATAGATGGAAACATGACAATTGTCAATATCAGAGAAATAAGCATTAGCTTCTCTAGAAAGATCTTATTGAGAACAGGGCTGATCAACATAAATCTCCTTAATAAAACTCTTACAACTGTTGATTTTAACTTTTTAATATAAAAATTTAATATCATCATCACCTTTCGAAACCTAAGATCACTTAGCTCTTTGTTTTAATCATCTATACTCACAATGTATAATATTAGCTAATTATGATTGGATAATAACCACTTGTTCTAAAAATAATTATCATTAGGATTTCTATCAAGCTGAGCCAAAACGACAACATCCTAATTTTCCAAATTCTCAATGCTCTTAGCAATAACATTATAGAATTCAAATTACTCTTTTTCAAAGAAATTTTGACATTTTTCAACTTATTACAAAGAGCCAAGGAGGAACAATATTTACTATCAAAGTCTAAGAAGAATTCACCATATAATCAAAATTATGGCAAGAGCTATTAAAAATTTTATACATAAATTTATGAGCACTTTTTTAAGATAACCAAAAGAAATCATAATAAAAGAATGACTAGAAGACATAGGTTCCATAATCATAAAAAAAAAAAAGAAAAATATCCATCCAACCACCATTACCAAAGGCTCTATCCAATAAACATCTTATATGAAAATCTTTTTTTTATTATTATACCAACTAAAAGAGAGACCATAGTAAGGCATATCGATAAGAATTAAAAATGAATTTATTAAAATCAACAAGTTTACTAGGAATTGGTGGGAACCACCAATTTTCTTCTTAATATTTCCAATGCAATTAAAATCACTCGACACAATCCAAGAATCATGAATACCAATTATAAAAGAGGAGAGAGAAGTCCAAAGATCCTTTTTACGAATAGTGTTATTATCCACATACACAAAAGTAACATAAAATTTAAATAAAGAAGAAAAAATAATGATACCATGAATATAATAAACATGAAAATCTAAAACAATAAAATTCAACATTGTTGAATTCCATTTAACTCAACTACGACCATTATCCACTAAATGAAATTATTAACACTATTCTCAAAATGGAATAGATTAAAATGCTTGGGAATAAAAGAACCAATTGAATTAGAAAGATCAATTTTAGTTTCTAGTAAACAAATGAGATCCAAATCCCCTTAACAAGATGCCAACAATCAGAAATGTGAGCATCGTTATTAAACCCCCTGACATTCCAATAGAGGAAAGAAAAAAAAAGAAAAACATTAATTTAATGGGAGACCTGCACCACTAATCCTTTCTTCCCTAGGTTTAGGGTCATAGGAGGACACAACATTATTAGTAACAACAAGCCTCACAAAAATAGCCAATTGAGAAGTCTCATTATTGACAAAATTAACAATAGAATTATCAAAATTCAAAGAGGTTTTATGAGGCAAAGTATTTTTGATTGTAACATTAGAATTATGCAATGAAACATTCAATATAGAGATAACTAAAATATTATTCATTTGTAAATCCTCCTTCACAAAAATAGCTGAATTATTAGAAACATTAAGATTTTGATCCTGGCTAGAACATTGTTCAAAAGCAATTAAATTATCATTAACAAGAAGATTAACGTCTTCCTCAGAATCTGGAATATTTCCAGTAACAGGAACATTAAAATTAGTTGCCACAACACTAAAAGAGTTAGAAGTATGAACAACAATATTTCTAAAATCATTATCCTCATTAACTACATTATCAATATTAACAGGAATAGAAACATGTAAGACAAAGTCATCAACATTTGGGAATAATAATAACAAAATTTTACCTTACATTCCTTCTATTATTCCTGAAAGCAGGAACCACATTTGTCGAAATAATAGAATCATTCTCAAGACAGTGCAAGTTTTACAAATAATAGACTTCTATTCATAAACAACTTGTTGGGTAATGCCTTTTTCTTTAATATTGAGCATAATAAATCCAAGAAATGAAAAATCCAAATTTAACTTGTATATTAACATGAGCAAAAGATAATCTATAATCTTTTGCTGTTAAAGAATCAACAAGAAGATGAATGCCTAACTTGCTAGCAATTTTAGAAATTCTTAATTCAGACGAACAACATAATACAAATTAGGAAACTGAACCTGAATATAAATTTTTTTAAAAACCTCTTTAATCGATTCAAAGTCACAAGTCCACCTTTTAATTGGTCACAACACTAGAGACTGTAATATTAAAAAAACTTCTATCACAAACACATAATTTACATAAAAGACTCCCAGAAATTGCATACAAGATATCAATCAACTCTGAATTTTGATATTTGACCTAGTATTTGAAAATGGATGAAATGGCGAGCAAGGTTTGTAAACAATGTCTCCAGCATGTAAGCTAGTATGTATCAATAAACTCTGAATTTTGATATTTGACCTATTATTTGAAAATGGATGAAATGGCGAGCAAGATTTGTAAACAATGTCTCCAGCATGTAAGCTAGTATGATTATGATGATATCTCCATAAATAATAGATTTTGGGAGCAAACGAAAAAAATGGTTCTTGGTAGGGGTGTAAACGAGCCGAACACGAGCGGGCCTAGTCTCAGCTCGTGTTTGGTTCATTTATATTTCAAGCTCAAAAAGTGTGTTCGTGTTCGATTCGTTAGCTTAGCGAGTTGAACACGAGCTGTTCACGAACAAAGAGTCGTTTTGACAACCCTAATCACGTAGTCACAAGATATTAAAATAAAATATTAAGAGTTGAGATAATATTTAAAATTTATTATTTATATTAAAACATCATTTGAATCCAATTTAATAATTTTTATTATATTTCTTAATTAATATTTTAATTGAATATAAATCTTTCTTAGCTTTATGGTCAATTAAATTTTTAAAAAATAATACTCATAAAAAACATAGCTTTGTGATCAATTAAATTTTTAAAAAATAATACTCATAAAAAAAATATATTCCAGTAATAAAATGAGAGTCGAACACACCTATTTGTTCGTGTCTGGCTGAATGATAGCCGAACACGAGCTGTTGGGGGACAAGGAGCGGTTTTGACAGCACTAGTTCTTGGCTTCCTGGCTTCCCAACGCTTCGTTCTTCTACGCGCGAGTCGAAGCTCCGAAGGCGTAGGGCGGAGGAGCGGCGATGGGATCGAGCACAGAATGTTCGCCAGTCCTCCTCAACATAGGTATAAATTGTTCGAAGATTTCTATTTATATTTCGAAGGAGTTCGTTCTTGACTTGTAATTCCCTTCAATTCCGTGAGAATGGAAATTGAATGGCGATTTTTTAAAGTTTTTGGTGCTTCGTTTTGACATGGAGAGTGCGCTTGGTTCCTTTCAAAATTTTAAGGGACTAATTAGCGTTATCAGAGGACTCAGCTGCCTGTGGGTTGCAGTCGCCATTGGGCATTCAATTATACCCTAGCTGATTTCATTGGTTTGGATGCATTTTTTTTCTTGATTTTTCTCATTATCATGCTTATACATGATTAAATTCTTCCCATGATGTCTTGATTCGGTATATTTGTGCTACTTCTTTTAGTGATTGAAACTTTGGAACAATGATTTTGATAGCCACGGTGCCATTGAATGAAGTGTTTAAGAATACATGTTTGTTCCTTCATGGTCACTTGGTATGAAATTTTTTACCCTTGGAGTTTTACAGGAAAGCATTTTATTGATAAAAGTGTGTTCAAATGCCTATTGGGTTATGCCATATAACCTCTTTAAGGAAAAGAGAACATCATAAAGATTAAAGGACATTATGAATAACCTTGTTAGTAAGCTCTCAAAGCTTACTAAATGTTTTGAATCAATTCTTTAATGTTATTTGCTGTATATGTAATCAATGCCAATTTTTCTTGCATTGCTTTTCTTATATCTTTCCATCTGCCTTTTGAGCCTTTTTTATATTGATACTACTTTGCTGTTAACAAAACATGGAATCTCGTCCCATTCTTATAAATCACTTGCTTCTATCTCTTACAAAATACTAATTTTGCACTTTAAACCAAAGAAAAAAAATAGTTTTCTTTCTAGATAGCATAAACCATTGAAGTTGCTTAAGCACAGCACAATGATGTTAATAGCCTTAGACATCACTTCTCTTTTAGGTTCCAAGTATTTTCCACATTATTGAAGGGAAGAATATTTTTTTTATCTTTATTTCTGTATTATTCCTTCTTTTGTTTAAAGTTTTGGGGATGGGATATTTTAAAAGTTGCATCATTGATACCAAACTAAGGGGATTGCTTGTCCTCAGTATTGGAACCTATTGCTGTCCTTCATCTAGCTTTCTTGTCAACGGTTGGGAAGAGTCCTTATGGTGTATATACATATTATTTAGTCCCCTCACGCCAAAATTACATTCTGTTTATAACATTTCATTTGGTGATGAGTTGCTCTTTAATCTTGATAGGGGGGAAGAAATATGCAACTACGGTTGATACACTTATTCAGCGTGAGCCTTATTCAATGCTTGCAGCAATGTTTAGTGGACGACATAATGTATGCCGGGATTCTGAAACGGTAAATGGCAAAGCATTAGGCTATTTTTCTCTTGTTGAATTTATGCATTTGATTTATGTCATATTAGAGTACTATACTTTTTGCTAGAATGTAAAATGAATCTCCTTTGATGAGTTTTCACTTTTCTTTTTCTTCAATTTATTACATGAATTATACTAAAATTGAGACGTAGATATTTTGTTTGCGAAGAATTTGGGACCTACTTTTATTCCTTGGTTATACTGAACTTTTGCAGGGAATGGTGTTTGTTGATAGGGATGGTAAACAATTCCGACACATATTGAATTGGCTAAGAGATGGGCTACTTCCCACACTCACAGACATGGAGTACCAAGAATTACTTAGAGAAGCAGAATACTATCAATTGCTGGTAAATAATGAGATTTATTATCTTTTTTTGGGTTTCATTTGATAGCAATTGTGAGTGTTTTGCTTAATGTAGTACACACATAATCACTATTGATAAAATCATGTCACCACTGCTTCATCCATGAGTTGTCACTTTAACATTGTTATTGTCCTTATTATTTTCACTCATCCTATCCTGGACTATTGTTTTTACAGGCATCATATCAGCATTGATGTCTGTTGCTTGTCACCTATTTATTTGTGCTTTCATTGGTCTCTAGTAACATCATGGTTTAGTTATCTTGTGATGCAGTAGAAAAAAGAAAAGCAACATGGGCCAGGCATTGAGAAAGGTTGGAGAGGACAACATAGATTCAATGATAATTTTTTTTTACAAATGGGATGGGAATATCAAAATAACATAGGAAAATCCATTTTTTTTCTTTTAAGTTTGATATTTTTAATGAAAATTTACTATCTGATTCAATGATTCTTGAAGCTTTAGACTATTAAAACCTTGATAATTAGTAATTGACTAGTAACTATGAAACTTAATTTAATTTTGTATACTATTTATTTAAGCAAAAAAAAAAAAAAAATCAAACTTTTCCAGAAAAAAAATCTATTTATTTAAGCAAAAAAAAAAAAATCAAACTTTTCCAGAAAAAAAAGGTTGTTTTAAATTATTGAAACTATAGAATTGTTTGATACGAAACTGAAAACAAAATTTAAAGCCTTGATGAAATTCATAACCAACTGTTATATAAAATAAAATCAAAACTTTGGTAGGTAATTTCGTTGTTTAGTGTAGTGAAGCCAAACGTTGGCTACTTCTATTGAATAAATTGCTATAGAAGATTTAGGATAACTATACAATTAAATCACATGATGCATTAAGATTAGAAAAAAATAAAAAGAAAATATGCTTAAGGGGTTGCAAATAGATAGATACTATCATGGCTTATAATAAATATGAGGAAGCTAAAAGTCTTGCAAAGATGATAGCGAGCAAAGCAAAAGCTATATCTCTTGATAATTTATATACTATATAATTGGCAAGATACAAAAGAAGAAATATATATATGTGCCACAAGTAAGTCTCCTCAGGTCAAGGGTTCGATCCTATCGTGGCACAGGGGCTCTGAAATTTTAGGCACATGACACAGGCTCTCATTATGGGCCAAAAGGCACATGGGAAATCAATATTTGGGCCTTTGCCAAATATCTATTTCCTTATATATATATATATATAACGAATATATTAATAAAAGGAAAGGTACAAATATTTTTGATGAAATGACCTAAAATGACACCCTAAACACCCGACATACAACACACACGTAGAAATACATGTATTCTCAAAAAAAAATTAGAAAGTAGACAGAGAGAAAAAAAGTCCCCTAATAGTTTGCCAACACTTGCAGGTTCAGTTAGCATGCGAAAGATCCAATTTAGCCTTGCCTCTGTCTCTGATTCTAGGACAAGAGCCAACTAACAAATTGTTAAGTTTGCTGTCATTACCCGAAACAACTAATGTATCATCCATCAAGTTTGGTAATATGCCTCCATTCTGCCAACACTTGCAGGTTCAGTTAGCATGCGAATGATCCAATTTAGCCTTGCCTTTGTCTCTGATTCTAGGACAAGAGCCAACTAACAAATTGTTAAGTTTGCTGTCATTACCCGAAACAACTAATGTATCATCCATCAAGTTTGGTAATATGCCTCCATTTTTTTTCTTCTTCCTAGATGTATAGACCTGTAATTCTTCATCCGAGCATTGACTCATCTGATCAGTGGATTGATCCAAAGGTGGCCGAACAGGTGCAAACTGTTGTACATCATGAGCCCCATGTGCCTGAGTAACAGTAACAACTTGTTCGTCCTGATGATGCGGAAGCGCAGTAGAAATATTGTCACCCGTTACATCAATGATAGGTTCTAGGGTCGGTGAAGTCTGAAAAGTCTCCCTCGCCCCACGAAATGAGGTTCCATAGACGAGGAACCTACATCATGAGATATATATATATGATGATAATAGAATTTTAGTTAAAAATGAAGTTGCTATAGCGAGAATATTCCATAAGCTATCACATAAATAATGTTGTATAAATTCTTAATCATGAGTTTATATGGATATTATAAATGTATATATATATA